GTGTGCCAGCGCCTCAGCCTGTACAGCCTTCATCTGGTGTAAATGTGTCTGCGGGTATTAAGCAGCCGTCTGTTGTTAGTGGAAGTGTGCCGGTACCCCAACCTGTACAGCCTTCATCTGGTGTAAATGTGTCTGCGGGTATTAAGCAGCCGTCTGTTGTTAGTGGAAGTGTGCCGGTACCCCAATCACTTAAGCCTGCCTCAGAATTATAATATTTGAAGTAGACGCTGGAGAGTAACAGGTTATCGCTTGGATTTCTTGTTTGACTGTAGTTGTTTGATTGTATTGATAAGTGGTCTCTCTATGCAATGGATGATCTTTCATTTGTGATTATGGGAATACGAGGTAAAATCGTGAGGTGTTGGTTATGCATTTAACTTGATAATGATTCGAATAGTAAAAATAGAAGCGTAATAGGTGTGCCTGTGTCGTATGAGAGTCTTGGGTAGTATTGTGCCCTTTTTTCTACCAAAAGTATTGATACAGGTTCGATGTGAAGGGTTCAGGGAGTTGAGCCCTACCTGTGCTTCCCGTAAAAGAAGACAGATAAGTCTCTCTTCCTTTTCTCTATTTTGTTTTGTGTATGGTGTCCCAATGAGTGGAACATCGGATTTCCATTGTTTTGTTTTGTTTTGTTTTGGGTTTTACTGTATTTATTATATCTCTCTCCACGTTAACTGTATTTCAAGGGTATATCTGTACAGAGAATTAGCGCCCTGCGTTTTTTTTTTTTTTTTTTTTTTTTGTTATTTATTCTTTATAGGATGATTGATCTTGAAATTGTTTCTCTGAATAGTTATGACCAGTGAAGTATCGAGAATTCCTAAGGATGATAATGATAATACACAAGGTGATACTACACAAACACCATGTGGAAATTCTCGTGATTCGGTGGTAATAGAAGAAGTTTCCCATATATCAACGTCTTTAGATAAAGAAAAAGGCGAACGTTTTGATTTTAGTCAACAACCTCCTTTTCCATCACAATCGTACACTTCTTCAAATGGTGATTTTCTTCATCTTTTTGGAGCAAATAGCAAAATTGGGGTACCATCGATTCATTGCTACTCTCCATGGACCGTTAAGGATAGTGATGATTGTTCTTTATTAGCCTCTATTGAGGTAGATGATGATGAAAAGGACTTTACTTTAGGAGTTTGTGGAGCTCAAGAACGTGTTATAGGGACATTTATTCAGTATTTCGCAAGTGGGCAAACATTACACCCTATGGGAACACAGGAAGTACGAAAGTTTTGTATTTGCCCTTGGCATCGTCAGGCAGTTCTTCTTGACCTATTAGATAATCGAATAATTTCATGCATTCAACTTCCTTCTGCACAGTTTTGCCGATTAAGGAGTGAAGAAAAAGGGAAACCGATTCAATCGGAGAACGTACAGACTGCACCTACTGGTCCAGATGAATGGCGTGTTGTAATTGAACATAAGGGTCAAGGTTTTATACGTTTTTATGATATGGAGAGACGTAAAGGATGTTGTTACTGTGATGCCCCTTTATCGTATTTTAGTTGAAGTGAGTTTTATTTTATGGGACATTATTTTCTTTGTTTAAATTTTTTTTTTTTTAATTTCTTGGCAGAGTTTATTATTATTATTATTATTATTATTATTATTTATTTATTTTGAACTACTAAGTTTTCCTACTGTATTTCTTTTTTTTTAAATAATACAGTGGTGGTGATTGATTCCACATAAGAAAAAAAAGAAAAGAGAGCAGAGAATTGTGTGTGGTGTGGAGGGAAAATAAAGAGAAAAAAAAATAAATAAATAGGACAAATGAGACGTGCATTGGTTTTCTCAGGTCAGGGTTCTCACCGCCAAGGGATGTCAATGGAATACGTACGAATTCCTGCGGTAGCCTCTCTATGGGAGCGTATAAAGGGACGAATGGAACAGAACTATGGTATTTCACTGCAAGAGGTTATAACAGAAAATCCTCAGAGAATACACGTATATAGTGATGCACTCGATGTGAAGAAAATTCTTCAACAAAGTTGTTTTGAGGAACGAAACTCTGCTGAGTCTATGGAACGAAAAAAGTTGATCTCACACCCACATGGAGTGATGTCTTTAACATACTTGACCCAACCATGTATGTTGGCGGCACAAATGATGGCTTTGGAATATTTAAAAGTGACACGTGGTTACTCTGTAGAATCTGCTGCTGTTATTGCTGGTCATAGTCTTGGAGAATTTTCAGCTCTCTGTGCTATTGGGGTATTTTCACCAGAAGTTGCTGTTGATCTTGTTTATAAACGAGGTGTATTGATGGAGGATGCACTTGAACAGTTTTCTATGAATCGTGAAAACTACGTGATGTATGCTTGTCATCCTGGTAAGGCAAAACTTGATGATGAAGATTTGGATATTGCGGTAGATAAATTTCATGTTTTGGTAGAACTTGTTGCTCAATCTTTATCTACTACTACTTCTTTTGTAGAAGTTGTTAATTACAATATTGATCATGAACAATATGTAGTGGCAGGAGATCGAGTTGGAATGGCAGCTCTTGGAAAATGTTTGGATCCACAATTTCGTGCTAGTATGTGTGGTCCATCTGCCAGTTTAGATCATATTGCCCGTACCGCTGTCTCATCTGTACGGCAAGATAAAGAGGAAGGAGTAACAATGAATCCCAATAAAGGACCATTACCAGATTTTGTAACTTCTTCAGTTCGTAAATATGGTGTGCGATCAACATTTCGTCGCTTTTTACGGGGACCAGATGATGGATATACACCATCACTTGATGAACTAACACATTTAACACTTCAAGATGATGGACGAAGTGGATTAAAGAAAAAATCATGGTTTATTCCTCTCTCTGTAAATGTACCGTTTCACAGTAGTCGACTCCGTAGGGCAATGGATCTTTTTCTTCCCGTTGTTCACAGTGCATTGCCAGAAGAATCTACACTGCGTTCTTTGCTTGGTGTAAGTAAGGATATAAGTAATGAGACTAGTACTTCATCATCATCATCATCATCTTTGTCTTTGGTAAAAGGAGGAAAACCTGTATGGCTAACAAATCTTACAGGTAATGCTTTTCAACCATTTGATACTGTTTTTCAGAAGGACTCATTGGAGATGATGCATTCTATGAATGTTGGTGAAGTTCGTCACCATGGTCGTTATCAAACAGATCTTGTGGAGAAAACGTTTAAGAAAGGTGTAGAAGAAGGTAGCGTGCGTGATATGTGTGCTGCTGTTCTAGCTGCTCAGCTAGCGCATCCAGTGCAGTGGATTGATTTAATGGATGTTGCAGTCATTCATAATGGTATTCGTGAAGTCCATGAAATTGCACCCGTAAGAACAACAGCTGATATGTTTAAGCGAACAGTATTTCATGATGATTCTGCGAAAGGTGCTTCTGGTGCTGCATTAGAAATTGTGACACGCTGTCTTCCCTCAGAGGAGCGTTTTTTGTAACTGGAAAAAATAACAAATAAAAAAAAAAAAACGTCTGATTCTAAAATGGGAAATAAATCCTAGCGTGCGTTTTTTCTTTCTCTGTTTGTTTCTGTTGTTGTTGTTGTTGCTGGTGGTGGTAGTGGTGGTATTTCTAATTGTTTATGGTTCTACACTATTTCTTTGGGTGGATATGAATATTTCTTTCATCTATCCTTTTTTTTTTTTTTGTTTTGTAAATCCTCTATGTATCTCTGTGTCTATAATATTCTTCAGAATATGTGTTTTTGGGCGAGGGTGTCTTGCATAGAGAAAGAGAGAGTAATTTCCGTTGTTTTTTCTCTTTTCCTTTTCGTTTGTTTGTTTTTCTATTCTAGGTGCTGTAGGCAAATCTTTTTGTATAGCTTCCCCCTCATCCCCTCCTCTTCTTTAAACACAGGTACACATATAAGATACATACATACATACATACATACATACATACATACATTTGTGTTATTCCTTCTTCATTCCTCATCCCATTATTGACGTTGATGTTTAGATTACAAGTACGTCGACTTCGCTCTATAGGTCCAATACGTGCAACGGGGATGCGAATGTTGTGGTGGGGTTACAAGGAAGAAGAACTTCACCGTCTTGCACGGCAACGACCTTGGTGGGAGAATGCAGCTATTTTTGCGGGTCTTCTTTGTTTTATTCAGGTAACTAGTTTATGTTACTACTTTGGTAATCGTTGGTATCAAGCTTGGCGTCCATCTGGTAATAACATCTATATCAATAATATGATGGATAAAAAAGTGTTTTCACGTCCTGATTTATCTGTAGCAGCCGTACGCATGGTAATTCATCATGTACTCTCAGGTGCTCAAACACCATTTGGAGCCCCAATGGTTTTTCCCGAGTATATGCGTCCAGAAGCAGAAGAATTAATGGAGTTTATACTTCAACTTCATCGTGAACAACCAATGTTCTCTATACCTGATCTATGGGCAATGTTAACAGCTAAAGCATTAGCACGTTTGGGTGGACCTAATATTTCCGTACGACGTGGTAGACCACAATTACCTCTTGATTTAACAGAGGAACAACTCTTAGTTGAAACTCCTTCTTTGGTTCCTGAATCAACACGAGATGTTTTCGCTATGAAGCGTTTACTAGCAAAACAAGGATTTTCTGTGGAAGAAATTGTAGCTATTATTGGTGGAATTCGAAATATTGGTTTTCATGAAGACTCTGGTTTTCATACAAAAGAAGAAGTAAAACCGCAAATGCGTCGACGTCCTGGTTTAATGGGACCAGAAGAAGATATTTTCCATTTACCTGATTCTTTTCATAAGTGTACCTTAGATCCTTATGTATTTGGTGGTGAATATTTTGATCTTCTTCTTGATTATAATTGGAGAAAGAAAGGATTTTTCCATCGTCGTGGAGATCATTTCCGTTGTGATGAGGGAGATCGTAAACGTGAAATTGTTCTTCTTGACCCTTTTTCAGAACAAGCACTCAATAAAGAACGAAAACGATTACAAGCTCAAGAAAATGCACGAGAGGCAGTGGAGCGGGCAACACAAAAACGTCAAAGTATTAAAACGGATGATGAATTGGAGGATTCAGAAACTGGTCGTGTAGGAGAGGCTCAGTACATTCCTGGTATAAATACAGATAATGATGATGATAATGCAAAGGATGAGAAGATAGATTTGGAAAAAGAATTTGAGGTGCCAGAGTTTAAAAGCCCATGTTCAAGTGTATCTTTGCGGGAAATAGATATGATGCTTCTAGATGATGCCCTTTTAACAGGATGGTTGCACCGTTTTAGCGCGAATGAAATTCGTTTCTACACCGTATTTGGTGATATTATGGAAAAGATTCAATCTCGTGGTTACAACATCAATTCTCTTTACATACCCACATAAAAAAAAAAAGGTTTCTTATTTTTTTTTTCTTTTTGTGGATATTGTTATTCGCAGGGTTTTTTTTTCTTTCTTCGTTTTCGTCTTTTAATTGTCAGTATCGTTTTTTTTTTTTTCTTTTTTTTTTGATTTATGCCTTCAATTGTACTCACTAATACAAGCACCTATGCACTGTTCTACCCATATATTACAAAAACTAAAAAATACATCTACAGTTTTATTCATTACTATTGTGTGATGGTTGGAAATGATAACCAAAAAAAAAAAAAAAAAAAAAAAGAAAAAAAAAAAAAAAAAAAGAAAAAGTTGTGTATTTCTTATCTCATCAATGATTCTCTATTTACTGGTTTGTATATATATATATATTTATTTATTTTTTCTTTTTTTTTCCCCCCTCGCTGTTTTCTGAACAAAAATAGGCCAATGGAGAAGCCACATCATGGAGGAGGAGTGCGTGGTGTAGCTGATGCAGCTGCAGTCAGTATTGATGGATATCTGCGAAATGCGTCAAAGCGGGTTCGTGTGCCGAGTGCCTCAGGTGGAAGAGGGACGCGCCGTAAACTGGCAATGGTGACGGCAGCACATGTGGAACAACCTTCACAAGAAGCAGTTTATGTGGATGCCGTAAAGGTGGATGATGAATGGGATGAAGTGGTGCTCCCAAATGCTCTTATTCCAGTAGTAAAGAAGGATGAAGAAAAGGCAAAGAAAGAAGAAGAATCTGCTCCAGTGAAGACAGATGTTAGTTTACCACCTCCGATGGAGGGTACTATTAAAGCGGAGGCGATACCAGCTGATGATGATAGTAATGATGATGATGATGATCATGCGGCACAATCAATGATGGAAGGTACTAGACCACCATTGGCAGACACACCGTTGCGACGATGGGGACAACGTGATCCGGCATATGAGCGAATGCTCGAACAACAACAATTGCTTGCCGCCCAAAGACGTTCAGAACGTATTAGACATGCTGCAGAAGGAATGTCTGCTCTTATTCTTGCTTTGCAACGGGCTAAAATGATTGTGAAAGAGTCTAAACACCCAAAATTGGTGCGAGCTCTATTGCATTTGCGAATTAATAAAGATAATGTTGAAAAAGTTTACCCTTTGTTAGATGCGGTACGAGAGGCAAAAAAAAATTATGAACTTGCTCTTAATCCTGTAGCGAAAAAACCTACATTATCCCCTTGTTGGGTTACTACATATAAAGATACAGTTAATAATCATACTTCCGCTTCTATTATGTCTATTTTAAATGGTATCAAATCGGTGTTTTTTCTGAATGATTCAGTCAATGCTGACATTTTGTCTAATTGGGCTGCTTCTATTGAACTTGGATATTTTTACAAACTATTATTAAACTTAAGTTTATCTCCGGATTCATCTAATCCTAAAATTACAGTCCCTCATTCATTATATATGTGCATTATATTTATTGCACTTTCCACAGTTTCAGGTTTATCATGTCGATTAGTTATGTCAGTGAGAAAGAATCGTGAGGGACAAGTTACAAGTGTAGCTAACAATAATAGTGGAGAAAATGGTAACAGTAATGAAAAAACAAAAGAAATAATGATGATATTTCTACCACATAAAAAGAGAAGAGAAAATTCTTCTTCTGTTGAAACAGAACCTCGCTCACGGAAATTACCATCTTCGTGTTTTTGGGTAGAGGTTTGGTGTCCACAACGTGAATGTTTTATCTCTGTTAATCCATGTGAAGGTTGTACAACATTATGGGGTTCACCATATACTTTTTCTATTGGAGGGGATGTTATAATGGATGTAACTCCACGTTATTCTGTTAAGTACAGTACTGCATTTTCTCATCGATGGGGTCGTTGTGATCAATTTCGTTTTTTTTGGAAAAATTTAAAATGGGATGATAATCGAGAAGCTTCTGAAGTTGTTCTAGATTCATTCCGTAAGAATATATCGAAAAAAACAGAAGAACAATTAATGAGAGAACGTAAACAACTTCATTCTCTTATGTATGCAGAAGAAATACCAAAAACCCTTACATCACTTCAACGACATCCATTATTTGTTCTTGAAAATGAAATTGCTCGATATGAGGGAATACACCCTAAGGACAATACTACTATAGTTGGTAGTGTAAAGGGTCATACCGTATATAAACGATCTGCAATTGTAAATCTTAGAAGTAGGGATGGTTGGTTACGAGTTGGACGATGTTTAATTAATGAAGAAGAAACACCATATAAAGTAGTCCCACCTCCAGCTTCTCGTCCGTTTTCATCACCCTCTGCTTTCTTCGGTGTTTGGCAAACGAAACCATTTGAACCGTTACCTCTTCGAAGTGATGGAACACTTCCATTACATGGTAGAACACATTGGTATATTGTTTTGGACAAACCAATACCACCGGGTTTAGTACATATTCGAGAGCCGAACATTGCTCGTGTTGCAAGACGTGTAGGAGTTGAGTTTGGACTTGCTGTAATGGGGTTTAGGCGGCGTCGTTTGAGTGAGCGCCGCTTTGCTCCATGGGAAACTCTGATTGATGGTATAGTTGTAAAGGAAACAGATTCTGTTAATATTCTGCATGCTTATAATGATTGGAAGCAATTGACAGAGGAACAAGAAGCTGCAAAACGACGACAACGGTCAAATTGTTGGTGGATGCATTTTGCCCAACGTTTGTTGGCTACACAACGTGTTCGCGAACAGTACTTGGAAGGTGCAATGCATGGTGCTTTTCCAACCCGCTAAGTTTTTTTTTTTTTTTTTTTTTTGATTGATTATCTTGCGGTGGTTTCTCCTCTTTTTCTCTCGCTCATATATATATATATATATATATATATATATATAAATGGTGTCTGTGATTCTATCAGAAAGAAGAGTTGTATGATGTTGTCATTATAGACATATGGGATATTTTTTTTCCATTGAGTATTGTGTGTAAGAGTTTTTTTTTTTTTTAATGCTTTATCATGTTCTCTACTATTAATAGGCCAACTTTTCCTTCTTTTTTTTTTTTCTTGTGTCCAGTGAACCCATTCTCTAGGGCCACTCTGCATCCCAAGCGAATACACATATACACACATAGAATAAGGTGAGCGAAAAAGAAAACCCCAGTATAGAAAATACAAACAACAATCGAAAACAAAAAGAAAATAAGAAAAAAAAAAAAAAAAAAGGAGTTCAACTAGACTGTATCTCTTTCCTCTTAAATAAAGAAGGAAAGAACAGTCAACACAAAGTAAAAAAGGGGAAAAAAGGAAAAGCTCACCTACCATACAAGATACATAATCACTCATGCGGACTGCGCCTCATTTCGGCGGCGGGACCCGACCGCAGACCAGTCGCCTCCCACCCTTCACTGGCGTCTCCCCTCGGGTCTCGGTCCGTGGGGTGGCGGCCCACCGCGGCGAGTACGTCGCCCTCGTGATAAGACCCACCGCCATCAACTCCCAGCGGGGATCATTAGAGGGCTACTGCATCGCTACAGATGAGCCAGTGGAGGTGATGGGATTCCCAAGCGGGTTAGAGTTGGCGCAGGTGAATGAGATTGTGTGCTACGTTAACCCCAGCAACGGTGAGCTGGAGTACTATCAACATGGCACATACAATGACGAGTATGATGTGGAGACGTACCGTAAACTTTTGGAATTGTTTCCAAAGTTCCCAGAACTTTTTTGAAAGGCTTCCTCGCAGAGATTGATACAGGGGTAGGAAAGTAGGAAACAATACTATAGCCTCAAATAATCTATACAGAGTCAGAGAAATACGACGAAGAAAAAAAAAAAAAGTGGAAGAGAGAAGCAACATTATTACTTTCTTAGTGTTTTTCTTTACGTAAGAATATCAGACATTTTTTTTTCTTTTTTTTTTTTGTTTTTGTTTTTTCTCCATTGCCCTGGTTACATTCAAGTGAAGGTGTGATGCAGAGGAATACAAGAAAAGAGTGACCACAGAGGAACTCTTGTGCCAGTGTCTGTTAACTTTTCCTGTGAAAAATCTCTCATTATCCTTCCCTATTTTTCTTTATTTCTTTTTGAATATGATTTGATTTTATTTTAAATGTAAAAGTGATATTATGTTTATCCCAAATTTCTCTCTTTCTTTCTTTCTCTCTTTTTTTTTTTTTATTTTTTGTCTATTTTCTTAAAGTGATGTTGCCTTTGGAGGCATATTCGTTCTTTAGTGATAAAGATCCATATGAACAGACTGAAGCCCTCTGGACATCGATTAATCAGCAACAAAGAGAGTGCAACAGTGTCTCTTCATCGTCACCTAATGTGAAACCCATCCCTTTAGAAGCATTGCAGCATTGGAAACGATATTTCGTGTTTTGCCGCTACACCGTCTCCCGCGTATTTGACTGGCGAGAGGTATTCTCGTATCTTGATGTTTTACCAGAGAGAAGGAAATCATCATCTCTTTTACGACATAATAGGGATTCGGGATCAATACCATCAAAAAAATTAGTTTCATCAGAGGGTCAAAAAAATTGTAATTTTAATGATGTTGCTGTTGAAGGTGTTTACAATGATGGTGTTGGTGAAAAATTTTCACCAAGATCAAGTAGTAGGCGGAATTCGGTTGAGTTAATGAAACAAGCACTCAGCAAAGGTTGTGAGAAACGATTAGGTACTTTCCCATCTTATTTACACCAGCAACGTCTTTTTCGTTGGACAAAGATGTTGGCTCAGTGTATCACTTGGCGCCTTTCTGATGCCTCAAAGAAGGGAACACTGATTCCATTTGAAGAGTTACTGCACTATCGTCTCATATTTGTTGCCAGAGCTAGAGAAGTGATTTGTATGAGGTTTTATTTATCACCTCTGTTAACTCTCATGGAAAATGAGGAAAATAAAAGGTTGACTCTTTCTACTGTACAGTCTCCAGTAAAAGATAAAAAAAGAGCAGAAGAAGGAGGAGGAAAAGAATTTCCTACTCTTTCTATTTCTGAGAATACTGTACTAACATTGACACTTACGATGACGTTTGCATCCCTACGTCTTTCGACTACCCTCCCTTTGTCAAAGTACATTCCTGCATTAACTGCACGTGGTATCGAAGCGTTATGGACAGACATATTACAAAATACTTCCCGCTTTTTGTGTGAGAAAGACTTGGGAGAGAAAGTGCGTGATCAATTGATGGCTTCTTTAAATCACACTAATCAATTTGAACCTTTAACAGCTGCTTTATTACAGGGAGAGAATGGTTTAGATTCTAAGGTGCACTCAGAGACATTAGGACCATTATTCGGGGATTATGCTTATCGAAGAGAAAATGAACATGTAAATCCCCTGATTACTCTACCAAATATAATGGTTTCTCCTCTTAAAACTGCCACAGAAAACCATTTGCTTCTCGTAACACGTGTCTTGGAAACAGTTGGATATGTAATGTTAACCAAAATACGTTGCTTTTGCATTGAGAAATGTTATTATGTTCTCCCTTTTATTGCTGATTTCATGACTATATCAACAGATCTAAAGAGTATGCGTCAAGTGTCAGCGTCTCTTCACACAACCTTGCCTTCGACAGAGGCCTCTGTATCAAAAGAAGAAACAAAAACTGATATAATAGACGAATTACTTAATGGTCTCACAGAAAGTATAGTTGAGCTATACAGAGTTTATGTGAAAAATCACCTACATGGATATGCTGCTGTGGCAGCAAATAATTGTATCAAAATAGGTGAGGGTGGAAAAAAGATAACTATTTCTGAGAGAATATTTGCGTTACTTAAAAATGTTGTAGAACCAAGCCTTGAGGTGGTTCAACAGGTGTTAGTTAAAGTTCTTTCTCCTGAAGGAGGAGAAAAGTTTCTCTATTTTGTAATTCATATGTTGAAGGGAATCCTTAAAAAAGAAATGGATAAAGTAGAGGAAAGCCTGAGGAGTGGTTCTGGCACTCGGGCACAGTGTCGTGATGATCGAACTCATTTAATGAATTACATTGATACTCACCCCGTTGCTTTACATTTTCGTTATCTCTGTATGTGATCTGGATCGTTGTTTCTTTTTTTTTTTTTTTTCTTTTTTTTTTTGTATTTGTTTGGAATTATTTGCATTTATTCTTTTTTTTCTTATTTTGTTCATGCCTTTGATTCATCACTGTATTTTTCATTTCTCTTCTACTCTTAAACTTGTTCTATTTTCTTTATTATTATTTTTTTTTATGTTCTCTTTCTATGCAGGAAGAAAAGAAAAAAAAGAAATGTTGCGGATTTGCCTGCGGCGTTTCTGCTGTATGAAATTATTTAATGCGGGTGGTGCGAATGTTGAAAATATCTCAACTTCAACACCGTGTGAAGGAACTGCCCCGCTTGAGTGGCAAATACAGCCATTTGTTCCAATGACATTTACTGCTCTCACACAGATTAGTCGTAGTGTGGATGTTGATTTAATGGAGAAGGTTGCCGAGGCTGGTGGTCTTCGAACTCTTCTTATTCGTCATCCTGAGTTGTTTAGCGTCTCCAAGGTGGGAAGTGTGTACGTGGCACGTCGACTTCAAAAAGGAAGAAAAGAACATAAAACTTCTTTTAAAAGTGATGCGAAACATAAAAAGAGACAAGATAAAGACATGATTTCCAGTCATCATGTAAAGTCATATCCAGTGGCGAAACGTCCTCCATTGGAGGTATTTTGTTTGTTTCCTACTTTTTTTATTCCAGTTGATGCTTTGATAACGTATGTGCGGGAAATACGTATGGCAGGTTCTGAAGAAAAAAAATCGAATACTAGGTGGATTTCCATGTCGGAGGATTTTGGATCTCCAGAGGAATTTGTTAGAAAAAAAATGAAAGAATATGATGATTTTATTGAAGTTGTATCAATAAATGAAACTAGTTCCAGTAATGTTAGTGATGGTGATAATTCTGGAGATAAGATTGTGCGGCATTGCTTTGTACGTCTTCGGACATCACTTGTAGAGTTTGCAAAGCAGAATGAAGAAGCATTAGAAAAAGAAGAAGATGGTACTTGTGGTGATGCGTTACATATTGATAATGTAATGGAGTTGTATGAAGTACCACAATATGAACAATACCGTGCAGCTCGTTTAATCGATATTGTGGAAGAATTTGTACCCATTTCTCAAGAAATGCAACAAGAGGCATCACTTTTGCTTACTGAGGGTCGTTCTTTGATTCACGTGTTTGTTTCCGCCCCACATCTTTTTGAAATACGAGATAGTCCAGAATTATCTGTACGTTTTCTATTAGATCCAAAGTATAAACCATCCATTACGCATACAAAGGATGAGATTGCACATAAACTGGAAGAAATAAGAGAAGGTGCATTAAAAAACGGATTACGAATGCCAATAGATCGTAGAAAGAGACGTATGCTTTCTAGACAATTACAATTTCTAACTAAACCAACCCCATACTTTGATGAGGCAGTTTTAGCTCACGCCGTAGTGGATGTTTTACCATTGGATGGTCCTGTTTCTGTTGCTCATCTCATGCCAAAACTTCCCAAGGAATGTGTTAATTGCATGCCATCAGCTTTAGGTCGTTTATTTAATCACTTTCCACATTTATTTCGTGTCTTTGATGGAGAAAGAGAAATGTTAGTGCAGCGCGCCGATATTCCTGCACCTGAGCAGCGCAGAATTTCGACTATTCAGTCTGATGAAATACTTCTCGTACTGTATAATGCCTATCCGCGGCGAAGGCATCCGAATAGTGGTACATGTCTACATCGTTGTTTACATAATTTACCCTTACGGGTTCGTTTGCGTATACGTCAATTGGACTTTTTAGAGGATGTTCTTCGCAAGCATCCTGATAAGGTAGAAATGCTTGGTGTTGATGAAGAACTGATGAAAAACTGTTCCCCTAGCGCAAATTTACAGATGTTTCATCTGTTTCGTTTTGTTGGTGATCTGCAGCAAGATCTGGTGAAACGATATGAAGCGTTGTGTGCAAAGCTTGGTGTGGACCCAGATACCACTACACAATTGGTCTGAGAGGGTTAATGAGAAGTATTTGAGAATACATGATCAGATTTCTAGCTCTTTCTTTCTCTTTCTCTCACACACACATGCTTTTCCTTCAAAAAAAAAAAAAAAAAAAAAAAAAAAAAA